ATGCCTTTGCTGAACACATGCTTATCTGTAGTGGTGGTTTTGTCCAAGATGGAAAGAAGATATTAGCGGGTCGGTTGCTCCGATGGAGATTGAAATCCTGCTGAGGAATGCTGTTTTTCTCCTGACATGGAGATTATAGCATTAGGATGGTTAGCTTGTCCAGGATAACGAATATCTGTATAAAGTGCAGTAGGTTCACCCCCCACTGACGAAGCCCCAGTGGGGGGTGAAACGCGTCATAGGCGTTGGCTAGGTGTTTTGTGTGCGACTGCTACGGCCGAGGCCGCCCTGACTCCTTCGCATCTAACAAACAACCAGAGGACTTGATTGGAGATATCACAGAGTTTCGGAGTTGGAGAAACTATTTCCTTTACCAATTTTCAGTTTACATTCACATTTATATACCATTGGATCCAGCCACATAGGATCTCTCTTTGGATTGAAGCACAACCAGGAAACAAATCAAAACAGCTGTTCAGTAAAGGCCTGCTCATGCAGCAAACAGAAGAGCCGAGATAGAGTTATTATCTCCTGAACCTACTGCATGTAACTGACTCACCTGATCCTCGTTTCAGCGCGGCTCGCATTGCCGTCGGAGCTTCGTGTCGTCACCCGTGATGTCACGAGACTCCTCCCCCTCTCCCTAGTTAAGGCCGACGGAGACACTTGTCTGGCGTTCGAGCAAGTGTGAAGACGCCAGGCAAGTTCCCCGTCGCCCAGCACTGAAACTCACTGCTGTTATTGGGCCGGTCAGAGCCCCACCAAAACCGCCATCCTCGCAGCCACAATTGACCTCCCTCCTCTCCTGGAAATCGGCTTAATCTGCAGCACTGTATACCCAGCATTAGGAGGATACAGATAAAGCCAGGACTGCAATTCCTCTCAGGAACCACCGGAGGGCACCAACGTCACTCCTGTAAAACCTCTCCACTGAAATAGCAAATACCCTGTCTTACAGACTGTTACCTCACACATGCCTGCATATTAACACTGTGGAAAGTTATCAATTACATCCGAGCATTGACTGTTGCCCTTCCTTCACCCCACCAACCCAAGAATTGCTCCCTTGAATAAATCCTCAAACTAACTTTAGATCAAAGATTGCTGATTTGATTATTACTATTAGACTGCATATATATTGGGGTATAGTACTACCCCCTCTATGCCGCCCCAATGGGGCATAGAATATGTTATAGAGCTTATTATAGATAGAAGTTTTACATAGTGTGTTTGCCTATATATTTTCTCATAGTTAAATCCATGTGTTATCCTATGCTGCCATCTAGTGGCCTTTTGTTGTAATGTACATGTTTTTCTGTGATTCTTTGTCATGTGACGATGTATTTCCCCCTAGTGTACGCCCCTTCCTTCTTCCTGTGTGCAGTATTCCTGTGTCATGGCCAAAGCTAGCAAGCCACATGTAACAGGACACACATATAATCTGCACAGTACGTAGGAAAGGCATCATTTTCTGACCGCACAATACTATCACCATTCATCTGCTGTTCCTATCATCTGCTGTAACCCTGATGTTAAGAATAAACACCTCTTTTGAATGAATCGGTATTGACGAGTTCAGCTATCTGACGAGGATTGTCCGCAGTGAGTATATCTGCTTATACAGGCCAGGCATAGAGGTTCAGGCACGTTCCCCGTCTCCCAGCACTGAACCGCACTGCTGTTATTGGGCCGGTCAGAGCCCCACCAAAACCGCCATCCTCGCAGCCACAATTGACCTCCCTCCTCTCCTGGAAATCGGCTTCATCTGCAGCACTGTATACCCAGCATTAGGAGGATACAGATAAAGCCAGGACTGCAATTCCTCTCAGGAACCACCGGAGGGCACCAACGTCACTCCTGTAAAACCTCTCCACTGAAATAGCAAATACCCTGTCTTACAGACTGTTACCTCACACTCCGTATGCGGAGCCACTTATATGTTTGTTGATGTTTTTTGATATAAGTGCAATTTTAAATATATATTTAATAAATAATTTTCTACGACTAATATAAAGTGTGTGGTCAAAAATTTTGAAACAGTGGTGGGATACTCTTACATAGTTACATAGTTACATAGTATTTGAGGTTGAATAATTGTTCCCCCTATGTTAGGTGTTCCCTTGTTTCTGTTCCCCCTATGTTAGGTGTTCCCTTGTTTCTGTTCCCCCTATGTTAGGTGTTCCCTTGTTTCTGTTCCCCCTATGTTAGGTGTTCCCTTGTTTCTGTTCCCCCATTATAGGTGTTTCCTTGTTTCTATCTCCCCTTTGTTAGGTGTCCCCTTGTTTCTGTTCCCCCCTTTGTTAGGTGTCCCCTTGTTTCTGTTCCCCCCCATGTTAGGTGTTCCCTTGTTTCTGTTCCCCCACGTTAGGTGTTTCCTTGTTTCTGTCTCCCCTTTGTTAGGTGTCCCCTTGTTTCTGTTCCCCCCTTTGTTAGGTGTCCCCTTGTTTCTGTTCCCCCTGAAATGGATCTGAACCACAACTGGGTTCACACAAGATGTCTGCTGCTTTTTCTAATTATGTTGTGTTCGGTGCACCAGAGAAATCACAAACTCAGAAGGTAACGGTCTATGAAAGCTCTAATTGTATTCAGGGCGGTCTCTCTCCTTTATACACAGATAACAGGAGAGTGTTCGTCACACATATGCCCACCTCTGTTATCTCTAAATGTCTTGTACTATTGGGCAAACTAGAGGAGCTGTTAGTTAAAGTCTTGTGTCTCTCTCTCTAATTGGTTAGTCAAAGATATCTTCTGCCTGTAGCATCCTCCCTCGGCATTCCTTTGATGTTTCTCGGCGCGCTCCCGAATACAGGATATCTCTCTTGGTTACGCATAGCAACGCTAGAAGTTGAGTATGGAAAGTCTCAAAGCTAGAAGCATATGAAACAAATTCAAAACATAGAAAAGGACATTTTCTTGACATGATCCATATTCCTTCACACCCCTATGTTAGGTGTTCCCTTGTTTCTGTTCCCCCCTATAGTAGGTGTTCCCTTGTTTCTCTTTCTGGTGTTCCCTTGTTTCTGTTCCCTCTATGTTAGGTGTTCCCTACTTGTAGTATCACCCCACCCAGAAAATGGGAAGCCCCCTTTCTCTCTCATTGGTTGCCATGGAAATCAAAGATAGAAACCTCTAATGAGTCTCTAATGAGTTGGTGTCTGCTGCAGGCCGACATCCGGATCTTGTGGATCGGTGGTTCTCTGATCGATGATTTGGGTGCCGGATTTGTAGACACAGAAGGTGTGGCGCAGTACGTTCCTGAGTCTTCTATGGGGCTCTGGTGGTTTTATGGGTGTGACGGCCATTATCATTGTGATGACACGTTATGTCAGGATTATTATTAGGTGTAGCTGTTGGGTTACGGAGATCGGTGGAGCTTGAGGACGGCCATAGACGGCACAATGGAAGGAAAAGATGTTTCTGGTTTTGATCATGGCCGCCAATGATAATGTCTTCTCTGCACGGCCGGAGGGGGTTATGGGACAGTTGGAGGACGATGTTCCAGGTTGTGGGTGACAATCATTCTGTGGAGGAGAGTGAAGGATGGAAAGTGCCACATGTGATGCGCCTCTGCCAGTGTTGGTGATAGTCATAATGGTCTGTTAGTTGATGGTCAGATATCTCCTTGTCTGCTGTTCTTGGGGAGATATCTGACCATCTATAAGGATCGGGGTCAGTGGTGGCTTCATATCAATGATTAGCTCTGGGATGAAATTTAATCTTCAGTCTTAAAGTTTAATTTTTAATTTTTAAAAAACTTTTTGGTGCAGTGGGGGAGGGGTAAAACCTCTGTCAGGTTTTATAGCGATCTGTGGTTGTGTCTGGAGAGTCACCCTCTCTATGTGTCCTGATGACCTTTACCACCAAGCCAGAAAGTGATGGTTAATCCCTTCTTAGAAAAGGAATAGAGGGAAATTATTCCAATGGGGACACCTGTTCTGGTGACAACTGACTAGGAGAAGATTTCCCCTCACTTTGGAGAGATTTCTGCTCACTTCCTGTTGTGTCTATTGGACAGGAAAATAAAGGAAATCTCTAGAACAGGAAAGAGACCACAAAACACTGAACAGTACTTTCACCCCTTCCCTACTTCATACTGAACGTCTAGTTTGATGGACTGAAGGGGATAATGGGGATTGTAGTCCGTCCCATCATTATATCTATATAATAGCAGACACAATCTGGACTAATCAGCTTCCAGCTTTCATTTTCAAAGCTTCACTGAACAAGCTGAAGATGGAATGTGATTGGTTCCTGCGATCAGCTGATCCAGATTCTGTCTGCTCCGGTCTTAGTAAATTCCCCCCATAGTTTGTAAGGAGTTCCGGATATTTCTTTAGAAAAACCTGACAGAGGTGAAACGTAGTTACTAAGACAGGAAGTGAGGGGAAATCTCTCTATTGGAGCTCTGGATGCTGAAAACTAGAAAATGTAGATACACCTTAAAAGTGCAGGCTCCCGGAGAATGAAGATGGCAGCTCCGGAACCTGCAGCCTCATAGATAAGTCAGTAATGTTGTTTTCTGTCCACTGCTTCCTCCAATTGGCTTAGTATTACACCAATCAGATTCCCTGCCCTGTGATGTCACCAGTCTCTGGGCAGATCTCTCACATCTGATTCCCCCCAGATATCTGTATGCAACCTATGAATACACATAACACGGCATGGAGGGGCTCAGTGAAGGTGGTGGTGAAGGTGTGGAGGAGTCGGATCGGGTCACGCAGATCATAAAAGGAGATCCGCCCGGCCTCATAATCCAGATCTATCCTGACTCTCTTACTGTAGACTTTTCCGGGTAATCGGATCTTATTACTGTCATGTATCACTGAGTACTTAGTACTAAAGAAACCACTTTTTTGCATAACCCAGGACTTCTTATTATCTCCAATCTCTGACTGATCTCCTCTCCTCTCTATACTGGGGTAACACATCCCGACTCTCCACCACTCTGACCCCCCGACATCCACTTCCCAAAAATGTCGCCCTTCGGAGAAACTCCGACTGCTCAACACCTGAGGAACCCGAAATCTCTCTGGAGTTACTGGACGATTCTGGCTCCTATCTGACCTGGATGCAGTTTTCCTGTCACCTGATATCCGTAGATTATTACCAGCTGTGTTCTCATCCAGTAATATGTCTGTAACCCCCGATGTTTGCTGCACAGCCCCAATATTATGTCCTCCAGCCTGGAGGTATAAGTGTTGTATGGTGGAAGAGGGTTGGGGGTGTGGCCTGGATGGTTCAGCCTCTATGTGACCTTTGCCCTTTGTACTAGAATGTGGATAGAAATGTGTGCCTGGACCTTCCTGTACAATTACCCCAGACATGATATCAGATATACCTGTGTGTAATGTGTGTGAGATCCCAGCCATATCCAGATCCCCTCCATCATGGAGGAGTCCATCATGTCTCTCTCTGTCCTCATCATCTCCATCCTCAGTATCACACAAGTCACCTGTGTCTGATTCCTGTAAGACAGTCAGTGGATCAGTCATGTTACACAGCTCCTCAATGTGACGCATCTTCCTGGACAGCTCGTCCTTCTTTATTTCCAGCTCCCGGATCATATCCGTCACGTAGAGGGAGGTCCGCTCTGCCTGCCCGGAGATGTCACTCAGGACTCTCTTCTCCAGGTCCTCCAGACGTCTCCTGAGGTCTCTGAGCAGGGCAGTGACTCTCTCTGTTTCACCGGCTGCTTTTCCTTGTACTTTCCTCCTGTGTTCCTCCAGACTCTGGACTCTTTTCTCCGTCTCCTCTCTCTCTGTCATCAGTTTCTGCAGAACATTCCTCAGTTTCTTCTTCTTCTTCTCAGAGGCCTCATCCAGAGTCTCCACCTGATGTCCTCGATGTTCTCCGTCCATCGTGCAGGGCACACAGATACAGGCAGAGTCCTCAGTGCAGTAATACTCCAGGATCTTCTTATGGACGGAGCATTTCCTGTTCTCCAGGGAAGTGGTGGGGTCACATAACACGTGTTCTGGTGACTTGCTGTGGACTCTCAGGTGGTTGTCACACAGAGAAGCTTCACACAGCAGACAGGATTTCACAGCAGGTACAGGAGCGTGATAACACTGAGTACAGAGGACCCCGGTTTTGCCCAGTTTACTCTTTGTAGTCTGGAGGGTCTCCAATATTTTACATAGAGTAAAGTTCTTCTGAAGGGCAGGACGTTTCCTGAATTTGTTTCTACACTGGGGACAGGAATAATCTCCAGACCCCTCCTGTGTATCCAGCCAATGACTAATACAGCCCCGGCAGTAGTTGTGTCCACATTTCAAGTTTACAGGATCTGTATAAATGTTCAGACAGACGGAACATTCCAGCTTCTCCTTCAGATGAGAAGACGCCATCGCTGGGAGCAGAAAAGTGAAGTGTGAAGATGAAACTCTGTCAGACTTATAAGACAATAAACAACATACAAAGTCCGGGAATCCATATCAGTCATACAATTACATTCAGACTTCCTGCAGTGTGATTGGTCGATGTTTTTACTGCACTTTGCATATCCTCATTTCTCTCTGAACCTTCTTATGGAATAATCCTGAGTGACAAGAGAGAACAAAGGGCGTGTTCCATGTTCATCTACACAGAGATGGTGGAGCCATATAATCATCAGAGACCAAATCACTTTTCTCTGCAGCAATATTTTATATTGTCATCAAATCACATAATATGAACTGTCTGTGTTACCCCGGAGCCACCAATCACAGTCACACCTCCATCATCAAGATGTCACTTTCACTTGAAGGTTGGAATCTGATGATTGGTTGTTGGACAACACAGACAGTACTTATTACAGACACTTCCATCACCTCTATAACCTTGTGTGGGATCATGGTGACCTCCATAGTTCCAACTTGTGTCTTCCTGCAGTGGGAGGAGCAAACACAATGTTTGTGTGTTCCCTTCATGACCCAAACCCTCCATGACCCAAACCCTCCATGACCCAAACCCTCCATGACCCAAACCCTCCATGACCCAAACCTTCCATGACCAAAACCCTCCATGACCCAAACCCTCCATGACCCAAATCCTCCATGACCCAAACCCTTCATGACCCAAACCCTCCATGACCCAAACCCTCCACATTAATAAGGAATAGAAAGACTTCTGTTTCCGGCGCCCATGTGATCGGCTGCAAGGAGATCGCGCTCCTGCACCCGCGGCCACAAAACCTATTAAAACCCGGCCATACTACCCACTCGAATCACCCTTGGTTTCGGCTGCGAGGATGTCCAGACATGGACCGGTTCCTGGCTGGGGGGAAATCCTGATCGCTATCAGTGCCTCGTTCAAGCCGGTAGACCAAGACGGCATGTGGGGACAAAATGGCGGATGCCGGCAGCGCTTCATTGCGACAGGCCCCATCTCCCTCCCTTTTGCAGGAGGTATCCTCGGATGAGGAAGCATATGAGAGGATAGCGCTGGCGGTGGCAAACCTGCTAAAACCCACCATTACCTCTGCGGTGGAATCGGCCATACAGCAAGGCCTTTTGCGAATCCACACAGATATGTCGAATCAGGTCCGCTCCCTTAAAGAGGCAGAACAGCAGATTTCTCTTCTGGAAGAAGAAGTGCTGGAAGGTAATACTAAAGTGGCAGCAAGTATTAGCCCATCTATGTTCCACTATTCTCCCTGAGGCTCTGGGCCTCAACGCCACATGTGTAATGGAACACGCACATAGATTGGGGCAACAGCAGTCTGACAGAGCAAATCCTAGACCGGTTATTGTCCGGTATTTGAACTATGTCTGATACATTTCCCGTCATGCAAAGATATCGCTCCTCGGAGGTCGACAAGCATAAGTTATTGGTCTTCGCTGACTACTCTGCGGAGGTCGCTAGGAAACGTAAAGCCTTCAACAAGATCTGCTCCGTTTTATTCCAGAAGCAAATAAGGTTCACGTTGGCATACCCTGCCACTCTTCACGTGGAAACCCCCAACGGGCAAAAAGTGTCCCTTTCAGGATCCTACGGAGGCAGAATCCTGAAAGTGTCCCTTTCAGGATCCTACGGAGGCAGAATCCTGAAAGTGTCCCTATCAGGATCCTACGGAGGCAGAATCCTGAAAGAGTCCCTTTCTGGATCCTACGGAGGCAGAATCCTGAAAGTGTCCCTATCAGGATCCTACGGAGGCAGAATCCTGAAAGTGTCCCTTTCTGGATCCTACGGAGGCAGAATCCTGAAAGTGTCCCTATCAGGATCCTACGGAGGCAGAATCCTGAAAATGTCCCTTTCTGGATCCTACGGAGGCAGAATCCTGAAAGTGTCCCTATCAGGATCCTACGGAGGCAGAATCCTAAAAGTGTCCCTTTCAGGATCCTACGGAGGCAGAATCCTTTTTTCACTCTCTGACTTAGTACACTGGGTCTCCCTCTAAAGTGGCCAAACCCCTCAGATCCCCCCTGCAGAATGGCTAGATCCTCAAGACGTAATAGAGGCACACCGCGGAAATACAGATATCGTTGAAGATAAAGCGGGGGTACTAACTGCTACAGCAGACTCTCAGGACCCACTGACGGGCAGGGAGTAATGCTCCTATTTTAACTATTTCCAACGTGGCAAAGGATAGCAGTAGTGCGAAGCTCGTTCTGCCCACGTGGGAAAAAAGTGGAGCCATCACTAGGATGTATTTTGTTTTCTATAGTTTACATGTTCATGATTGTATTTGATTTAGATGTTAATTTTTCCCATATTGCTGGTTGCCTTCTAGATTTTTGGTATTGCTGTGCTCCAGGAGAGGTGGTGTCTGGGCGTGCCCTGCAGGTGCCTACCTCCCCCTTTGTATGGAATTTCATGCTGCCTACGCAAGTTCACCAGGTGAGTGCACTGCCCCAGGGTATTCTCCCTCTCATTAAAATCACACGTATGTGTACATCCGCTTGTCCATGTCATCTGGTTAGGAAACTTTTATGAAAATAGTCTCATGGAACGTTAAAGGAGAACTATGAGGGGGGGGAGGGGCTTTTCACTCACCTCATAGTTCTAGCCGACCTGTGACAATGAGACTGTCACAGGTCGGCTCAGTAGATCGGGAGGTGAGCGAACACATTCAACCGTGTTTACTCACCTCTCGATCCTGTCACGCCTCTCTGCCGTGACAGGGGACGGGCTGGATTCCCCTCCTCCCCGCTCCGAACCGCCAGCGCTGACTGGCGGAACGGATGGGGGGAGGGGGCCGGTACAGCGGGCTCTGCCTCTAGATAGGCGGAGCCAGCTGTCACTCACGCAGCTGGGCGGATCTTGACATCGATGTTGGGATCCGCTCCGGCTGCGGCATCTCAGTATACCGCGAGCTGTAGTCATCTCTGACCATGACTATCGACCGACGTTGAAGGGCGCGGAGGTGGAGGCCTGGCCCTAGCAGCTCAGGGCCCCAGCATTGCCGCTCCAGCGGCTTCGAGACAAGCTGGGGCCCCATCAGTGATGCTGCTCATCTGATGTCGGACTGGCCGGAAGTGAGGTCACTTCTGGCCGGTCGGGCGGCAGACGAGGCCATATGTGCAGGTAAGAGGAGCTATGAAGGAAGGAAGGAAAGGAGGGAGGGATGCAGCCCTGACCAACCCACCTGAGACCCCTTCAGAGCCCACCATAGACAGTCTCAGATGGGCTGTGCAGCATCTATGGTGGGCTCTGCAGGGTCACTCTCAGGTGGGTCCTGTGTCCAGCGCGTCACTAAGATCTGCATCCAGCGGCTGGTGGGCCCGGCCTAAAGCCGTGTAAGGGGCCCCAAAATTTCTGATGGCTGGCCTGTTTCCCAGGGTACATGATTGTTTAGCCCGCCTAGATGATCTATTTTGTATGAATCCCTTGTTACAAACGGTCAAATCCTCAGCCCTGCATGCTATAGTTATATCTGACCATGCCCCCCCCCCCATTTCTGTAGATCTCTCTGTTGCCCCAAAGATAGCCAACACCATTTTATGGCGATTCCCCGGGTATCTTAAATCCAATGATGACTTTTGCCATTTTCTCTGGCCGGAGTACGCAGACTTCAATAGCCAACATGTAGAATCCCCCACACTGTTCTGGGAAGCTGGGAAGGCCTACGTCCGAGGCAGGACCATGTCGTATACGTCCGCCCATAAAAGAAAAACTCTTAACGCCTTCAAGGGAGGCCAGTGAGGCAATGGGACTGGCACAAAGAAACCTGGTGACAGACCCGGGTCAGGCCACGAAAACACTCTGGGAACAGGCCAGACTGCTCACTTCTCGATCCTGTCACGGCTCTCTGCCGTGACAGGGGGAGGGGCTGGATTCCCCCCTCCCCGCTCCGATCCGCTGGCGCTGACTGGCGGAACAGACGATGGAGGGGGCGGGTACAGCTGACTCTGCCTCTAAATGGGCAGAGCCGGCTGTCAGTCACGCAGCTGGGCGGATCCAGACATAATTGTCGGGATCCGCTTCAGCTGCGGCGTCTCAGTATACCGTGAGCTGTAGCTCCCTATATACTGAGCCTAGTGTGACGGGAGGACGCTAGTTTGTGTCATCCCGTTACCCTAAGGAGAACTATGGGGAAAAGCCCTGACCCTGTAGTTCTCCTTTAATGGCAGAAACTCCCCGCACCGTATCTTTGTGCTGCAAGATAAATCAGGCTTGCCCCTCACGGATCCGGCAGCTATTAACGGGGCCCTTGAAGAATATTTTGCATCTCTTTATGACAAAGATGACATGGACAAGGGGGCAGCGGAACAATTCCTGGGACAGGTTAAGTTGCCCACAATAGAGGAGGTCCAGCTACAAGCTCTGAATGCAGATGTCACGATAGGAGACATAGAGACAGTCATACATAAGTATAAGGGTAGTGCTTGCTGCTTTTGCAGGAGTAGGGGCCCGAGGTTTCATTGTAGACACTAACAACTAAAAACATGATGAAACTTACCTAGTTACATAGTAGGTGAGGCTGAATAAAGACACAGGTCCATCAGGTTCTACCTATGTAGTGAATGTGTGAGGTATTTTAGTCATTCCCATAACCCGGTAGACATGTGCGATTCGTTTCGTTACGAATCGAAATTCGTACAAATTTTCCTGAAATTCGTAACTTCGGAAGCATCCGAAAAGCCGAATTGCAGTTTCCGAATTATATCCGAAATACGAAATTCCGTTAACGAATTTCGGATCCGAATTTCTTTGAAACGGGAACTAATATTACCCCTGTAAATGAGGTTGAACAACATGACAAGATTTTTTTTAAAATCCGAAATACGGATCCGCCGCTGCTGAGAGTTGCGTTACAATACACAGGCAGGAAATACGAAATTCCGTTGACGTATTTTCGTTCCGTTACGAACATTCGTTATATTGAAGGTAAAAAGCAAAGTACATTTATATTGGAGTTGATGGTAGT